TTAACTAAACCATTGTTTTGGAAGCAGCAATCATTATGTTTGTGTGTTTAAATTGTCCATGCACATTTAAGACATGAACCGGACTTAAAACTCACGTCAACTCTTCTACTTTTAATCAAAAAACATTTTGCATTGCTTTTTTTTTATTTTCATCCTTCTGTTATGATGAGAGTTAATAAATGCATTGTCAATGTTTTTCAGATTGATAGGGAGTTCTTGCAGATTTCTACTGTACCACTGCTTTCTATGTTCTCTGCTGAGCCTGACCATACTAAACAATTGATTGAGATCTTCAGTAGAAAAGGTGGGCAATCCGGAAAAAAATCACACAGTTAGCCATCTCATGTTTGCCATCTCCAAGACTTGTATTGATAAATGGCTTTAATAGTCATTCTCAATGCAGATGGAAAGGCAGATGTAGTTTGGCATTTTCTTCCTAAACAGTACTCTTAAGCTGTGCCACTACTGAAGTTTGAGTTATTTTTTGTCCCCACCCCACAGGATGACACTATACATACCAGAAGAGCCTGTGTGATCAAGTCTCTGTGCACCTACTTGAATGAAGACCCTGAAAAACTAGTGAAGGTATATTTGGTGAGTTCATGAGAAAATACAGTTTTAAAAGGCCATATATTCTGTACTTTTCCATATTTGGTGTTTTTCCCTATTTGCTACAACAAAAATGTGACATGAAATAACACATAACTTTGTCAAATAACTGAGCTGGACAAATTGTTCATTTATAGGAAACTGATGGTACACAATGACAAAGTACTTATGTGAATTGGTTGACGCACTAAACCAATTGATTTTGGGGCCTAATTTACAAGACTGTGTAAACCCATACTAAAGATTTAAATTAATCTGAAAGGCAGAAGAGGCATGCCACAAAAAATAAATAAATGGCATCAGAAAACTGTACATGCATGCTTTTGTTTTATTGCAGTGCATTATATTCTAAGATGGTTGTAATGTTTTAGCCACCTTATTCATTTTAAATATGGTGGCCAAATAAAATTATAACAATCTTATAATATAGTGCACTGCAATAACACTCCAGCACTCACTGTGACCTCAGTAATGAACATATAGTAGAATTGTCACCTTTCTGACAGTTTCAACTTAAAAACTGAGAAATTATAACC